CCCAAAAACCTAAACAACCCAACCCTAGAAATAGTCTTTTAGCCAAGAAAGTTTACAGATGCAAATTGGCACAGTGCAATATGAAATGAGCAGTCTGGTCCAGCAGAAGGGCATCCCTGCCTATGGCTGAAATGTTGGACTCAATGACCTTTAAAGGTTTCTTCCCATCCAATTCTGTGACTTCRTGAAATGATGGACCAACCCACACAAGTCAGTGAGAAAAAATAACTAAAGATCAGTGCAAGACTTGTAACTTCCAACTCCCCCTTGTGCCTCCCTAACCCAGTACTTACCTCATTTGTAATGTCGTATACCACTATAGCTGCTTGTGCTCCTCTGTAGTACATAGGTGCTAAACTGTGGTACCGCTCTTGCCCAGCTGTATCCCAAATTTCAAATTTTACCGTTGTRTCATCCAGACATACGGTCTGGGTTAGAAAAGCAGCTACAAAAAAGACAGAGGTGCTGAAAACACAAGTTTGCTTATATCTCTATATTCATATAAAATTATGTTCACAGAGATGCAAAACAATTCAAGCCTACTATTAAAATAAAGAAGGTTTGATGCAAGCATTAGCTGACAGACTAATTCTGACCAACATAAAAGAGTTATTTAAACGACCAGACTTTCCTCAAGTTAGACATATGAAAGCAAGAATTGGAAAGAATTCTCTTTTTTGTARTAGTGAATCTGAGTAACCGTAAGCTTTCTCTTAAACATTCTAGATACAGTTGGTTGAAGCAGGATGAAATGTATTTTAGAGCATCAGCAACAGCATCCCATCATGCTATAATCCAACAGTTCAGATATTTTCAGTTCTACACATCTGTATTACTTGAATAACATATTACTGACAACTTCACCTTAGCTAACAGGCCTGGAAGGAAGAAGCTCTTCTGAAAAATTCTTGTTCTCAAAGCAGCTATATTTTCGACTTTGCCAGTGACCTCAGAAATTAATTTCAGCATAATTTCAACAGCCTGCAGTTTCAAGGAAACTTGCATCCATTGCTACTACAGCTGAACATATTACCATAAATAATGGACTTCCAGTTACAGAMAATATTAAGTAACTCATTCCAAGTCTTCAAACAGTTACTCATAGAAAAACTCTTCCATTCAGAATGACAATCAGAAGCAGGGAGGTGAGTGCCCACACAACAACAGAAACCATTATTACRAAACTAAGGAAAGCCCAATACTTGGCTGAAGCGGGAACTCTGGTCACTAGACACTGTGACAGATTGTGGCCAATGTAAATCAAATGTCTAAACAGACACTGACCCATAAYGCTTGCATACCTGGGATGTTATCCCATCCTACATACTCTGAGACATCATAACCTATGAATCATCCCAAAACGGCTGCCACCTTTAACCCAACTCATTACAGAAACCAAAATGTAGCCAATCTTGCTTTGTAAAGCACATTGTAACTAGCATACAGAAGTGTYCCTGTCTCGGCTGTGAGCAGCAGCTGCATGGTACTTAGCTGCCAGCTGGGGTTAAACCATGACCAGAAGCTGACTCCTTAAGTGGTCAGGTGCTCCTGCTTCAGGGGTATTAGCATCCATCACAGATGAGCAGGCAGGCTGGAGAAGGTAAAGGCTTTGATGTTCCGGAGTTAAATCAACATAAATCTCTCTAAATGCTACATATCCGAACACTGGTAAAACAGGCTCTACTTGGCAGCTCCCTAAACAGCCCAGAACCAAAACAGAGTGAAAGAACACTGCACATTCTGCACTAAACCAATTATTTCCTCCCCTAAACCAGCTCAATACTATATTTCTCCAAGGCAGAAATAAGATGTTGAGCAAGTGAATCTGAAGTTCTCAGACACAATTCTCTTAACAGAAAAATGTACCTAACACTCCATAAATAAAGGTGTACTTGGAAAGAGAACCACTTAAGTGGTTTATTCTATGCATTTCTCTTGGTTTTGTCAAAAGTTAACATTTCAACCACCTTAAAATGCCAGTTAATTTCCGCAAAAAAAGATAACTTTCTTCTATCTTGCCAARGCCATAGTAAATTGACAATTAATCATCTGTGTTAATTATCTGAAAGCCTATCATCTTTAACAGCCATACTTTTGTCTTAAGCAACTAACAGGCCTTGCTACACTAGTCTGAAGTGGCAAAACCACAYCACCACCGTCCAACATGTCTGCCTTAAACTGCACTCCCTTTCAGATGTTTTTATCCAGATTCACAATGCACATAAGCCTCTCTTTGTTAAAAGGCCCTTCTGTATACAAAGAAAATTATGCCTTAGGCAACTACACAGACAGCTTTCTCTATAGAAAAAGTTTTCTGAATCCCAACACTGCTGCATTTAATAGCTCTCAGCTGTATTATATAGCATTTCCTTGTTTCTATTTTATATAGAAAAGGCACAAGTTCATACAGATTACACTAAACCTTACGTATCTAACTTGAACTTAGGCTCTTGTTTAACCTTTGTTTAGATTCTGAACAGTGTAACAGAGTTTGGGTTATTCCAAACACTAAAACAAGAAAAAACTAAATGGAGGTTAAATGAATTTGACATCACTGAAATGGAACAATGAATTTAATTTAATTTTAACAATTATTTTTTAAACTTAAAACCTTGTTGATATTTGAAAGTTAACTCACTACRTATCTTTGAGAATGTTCACCATATTACCACACACCTGTGTATCAGAGAACACAGAAACTGTCATACTAGCACCAATCCTAAAGCCATGATAAAACCCACAAAGTCAAAAGTGTGCATTAGTAAGATTGCTAAAGTAGAAAATATGTGGATCTCTATTTATGCTGACAGATACATAAAATAAATACACGTAACAGTTAGAAATAGGGCAAAATAACAACACAATGAAATTCAACTCGTATTTGCTTATATAAGCTTTGTAGAGTTTTTACATTTCAGCAACTGCTGGTGTGTGAAGACACAATCCAGACCACTGAAAGGCCTTCACATAAACATTACAATGGAACACACTGATTCATGCAAGCAACAGCAACAGCAACTACTGGAGAGTATTCATCAATTCATAAAATCCATATTTTTCAAAGTCAGTATGCTGTTAGGTAGTTTTAGGAATACAGCTCAAAGCACAAACAAACCAAAATACAACRTAACTTAAGTAATCTGCCAAGGGCAAAAGGGTGATAAAATCTGTTCACAGTTAAACAGATTTTTTAATTCTAGTAGCCAGCACCTGTTTCATTTGAAGTCACAATATAGAAAAACACAACAAATTCTGTGATTACTAACACAGAAATATATCCAGAAATGTAGCAAGTTCTCCAAAATCAAAAGCAAAGTCAGCATSCAAAGGTGACAAACACAAGCTTTCTGGAACATGCAATGCTAGGTTTTTTTTTCACAGAAACTATGCTCATAACTCTTACTAAGCAATCATTTCATGCATTAAGCATAAAGCACAATGAAAAGGGCCACACACCCACTTACAAACAAAATGTAACATTGAGCCCCGGTTTCAAAATCATGCAGTTCAAGAACACTCTGCCTCCACTTGAAAAGAATATYTGCTACAGCCTTGTGACAACTACATTTAACTTATAAAGTTATAGYTCTCAATTACTGACACAGGGCTCAGATTTGATCCTTGCTGTCAATGACCCACTCTAGAAGCGCCATTACATGAATGGTTTTCAAGAGCAAGGACAATATAAAAACTCAACATGAAACAAATTAACAGGATCATTTTCTCACCTCCAATCGTACTTTCTTGAAATTCATGGAACTGTCCTTTTACAAAACGAAGCACCAAACTTGATTTGCCAACTGCAGACTCTCCTAAAAGTACTAGTTTGAATTGGCAAATTTTATTTCCAGCATTTGGCCCGTTGGGCCTTGTTGCTCCTCGATTAGCCATGTCCAAATTACAAAGCAGTCCTTTGTTTCAACGGCTTTTGAAAGCAAGTTCCACTGAGATCTGAATCCTGGTTCTTCAGCCAGTAACGACCTATTTGTGAAAAGACAGTGGATGCATTAGATTTACAAACCAAGTAACTAAAATCTCATTCACTAATGCAATATGTATTATATATAACTTGACCTAGTATTTACCAAAGTCAACAGTCCRGAATATGGTACCATCACTGTTAAGTTGTCAACTATAGCCAGAATTTATGACACATGAACCAGTTATCTTCTTCAAMACCTAGTCTTGCCATTAAAGCTTCAAGCTAGAACATTAAAATCCAATTATGTTTCCTATTGCAAGACCTCAGTTTCCTGTTGTTTCTTAACAAAACAAGACTGATGTAGAACACAGCAGATTCAGACCTTCAAATTGTCAGTAAAATAACAAATGACAAGAAGCAGTAACTTTTCATAATAATGTTATTGCTAACCAATATTCCAAAGTCAGCACCACTGAAGGATGCTAAAAAACTGAGCTAATTGGGAAAAACTCAAACACCACAGTAAATGTTTTTCAAGTATAGTTCATCAATTCACTTCTATCACATCTATCAGACACAGCTGTCTTAAATACAGATCTTCACATATAAGCCATTAATACACTCTCTAATCAGCAATTGTACTGAGAAGCAGAAGTGAAGCCTTCCATATGAAAACCAATTGTCTTGACCAGTAAGAATTACAGGGCCACTTTGTACACGCCACCAGAGAACTACCATATGATGGTAAATTTCTATTTCCAGTACTTACACATGCCCTAGATCAATATTACCAATGGAGATCTTTGTTAAGAACAACTATGAACAGYGTATTGCTTGGTCTGCCTACTCTTCTTTCCAGCTGTTTAAAAAACCCCCACCCACAGTACTTATTCATATGGACAGAGAAGYTTTTAGACTCTGCTGATATCATTCCTGACCCTAATATTTAAGGTTTTASACACTTAACAGTAGACACAAACGACACCCCAAAACCAGCCTATAATTTTRTCCTACTCCAGCTGATTAATAATTTGAATTGATCCCATTTTGTGGGGATACAGCTTTTCTAACATCAAGGATACAAGTTAGGTTAGAGTATATACTCCTAATGCAAAAAAGGCTTTAATACATATGTTGCAAAAACCCAAAYACAATAGTTTCAAATAATGTCTTCTTTATTCCTTGTGGTAAAGGAACTACATTTTAAACCAAGCAACAGTCTAAAAACATCTTCCTATTTCAAGCCCCTTAGCACACAGATTAGGCACTTGAGCATTTCAGCTTGCTACAGGCCTAGCTCAGATGCTAAGCCTTCTTTCTCCTTCCTAACTCTCCCTTTCCCTCAACCCAAATCCTGAAGAACCTTCTTTCCTGAAAAGCGCTTCAGCAGTGTAGCAGAACYCTACCCTTCAGTAACATACTCCCTTACAAACTAATATTTAAGGAATAAATGAGAACAAAATCTTAGCATTATTTATTGAATAACGTAACAGCTGAAAAACAGATAATCTATTTCTCACTGTAAACAGAACACAGGTCTTAAAAATATTTTCAGCATCTCAGAACTACTTACATTTGCTCATGTTGCTCCTCTGTTCATATTTCTCAAAATAATTTACCTTCAACATACAACAGTTTTGTCTTCTGTCCTGAGTTTATGTTCTATTTGACTATTATATCATACTTACATAAAAAATACACGTTTTTAAATTTTAGTTGTATAATGTTATCTAGTCAGTATCACATTTTAGCTATATAKTCTTAAAAATATAGTCTTCCACAGTGAAAGAAGGAAGCAAAAAAAGTCCTTGCAAATCCTACCACCATTCTTATTAAGAACCATGTTAATTCTATACTAAGATTCTTATTCATTAAATTAATTTTGGTGGAGTATTTCAGAATACAGGAATGGATCCAGTTATTTTAAAAATACYTTTCACCCTTACACCATAAAATAATCATTTTGAACTACTAGTCTGTTGATTCTCAGGCAAGACTCTTCCCCCTCCATGCTGCTGAAATATACTTCAGAAGTTGTGGAGTAATTTGGATTAAAATGGATCAGTGACAACATCTGTAGTTGCCCTACAATAGAGAAAGCAGCAAGGCATAACCAAAATACAGGTGGTTTAGAATACTGTTGGCCATTTCTTAATCTTTTCCTTTGGAAAAGTAATGAAGACAATTAAGTTATTTCTGTTTTCAAATGAAAAAAAAAACAAACCCTACTGTAGCATTTCAATGTGTCTGGAAAACCACGAAATAATTAAATCTTTAATCTCTTGTTTTTCTAGACTCTGCAGCACTCATGAAGACGTAAGGACAACTTCCAATGACCGTGTGACTCCTCACTCCGGGGAGCAAGTGACTTGTAGACGACACAATGAGGAAATCAAGCCAATGCACAGGTTACTTGCTAAGACTSCTTTTTTGCTTGCTGTTTCCCATACTCAGAGCAAAAGGAGGTATGAGAGAAAAACAGGCAAGACTGATTTAACTCACATAGTATTTATCAGTTTCACCTGAGTATTTACAGTTTGTAGTTAATTCAGATTTTTATCACTTACAAAACAGTAATTACTACCCCTTGCAAAACTACTTCAGAACACAGCTGACACAGGTTGTCAAGAAAAGGATCTAGTTTGATTTTTATAGATGCCCAAGCTACAGAAGCTAAGTTATCAGAGAACTTCAAAGTTCACACTCTTACATCATCCCTTCCCCCAAATCATTCTAAACAGTCAGATACCATGCACAAAAATAACCAGCTGTGAAGCTGATAGCAGACCACATTACCTGAGAGGAAGGCCATCTAAGAAACACACTGCAAACCTCATTCATTCAGTCACATCAATACATCTAATAAATTAATAATAAAACCTACTAGTCATACCACCCACTTTTCAACAGCTCAGGATAAAAAAAATGCAAGACTGAAAACCTGATAGAAGGGATAGAAAATGCAAGACTGAAAACACATCCAGATGATTTTGATATATTAAAAAAGTCACTAACACCTTCTATAAATGTGTACGGAAATCATCATCTTTTGAAGTTTCACATGAAGCCAAAAATCAGTACGTTAAAATTCACAACATGGAAGCATACATATACAATATGCAAGTGAAGTATCTGCTCCATGTGAAGAGAAGCAGCATTACAGTTTGACACAGTCACTACAGAATGGCTTTGGCCTGTTCTTTCCATATCTGTGAGCTGAGCACAGTGCCTCACAAAGACTCAGAGGCAGATTTYAATGCTACAGTGCCCCATGCACACTCCAAGTCTCAGGTCACATTCAATCTCCTCAATTCAATTTCTTAATTCATCAGTAGAACCCAAACCTGGAAAATCTGGGAGAAATACCACACTCAGTCCCCTACAAATACACTGCAAACTCAGCTCCAGTGAAAATTTCCTAGAAAAAAATTCACCAATTTGCCTCCCCTTCCTTTCCTCTCCCAATTTTGTAARCTATGTAATCAGTACGTTTGGAATATGTAAAGAAAGAAAAACTTGGTCAGACATTTTCATTCACTTACACAAAAGCAAGTACACAACTGCTTGACTTGAAACAAGCTCTTAAACTGATACATGTGGGAGTTATGCAACAGATCTACGAACATAAAAATCTGCTGAAGAAAATATTATGAAAATTTCTGAGATGGATGGCTTCACATGGATGGAAATGAGGGAGATTTTCTTTTATAGAATTTAACATAAGAACTACATATTAAAAGGCAAGGCCCATTTTTAGTCTTGGGCACTACAAAGACATAGGTCACTCTGCTAAGTAGGAACTTTCAATTCTCCTGAATATCCCCCCACCCCAAGACACAGCAGGTCCATGCTGAAATGCCAGAACACAAAGCTTGGTGCATATTATTAGTCAAGTACTCCTGGTAATCCCACCAACTAATTTACCAGATACTGGGTATTCTCATCACTCCAGAACAGAAATTTGTATGCTGCTAGATAGTCTGAGTTTTATTTATGAAAGAGTCCTAAGTATTTTAAAAGATCAAACACAAATCTCATTATGCCTGAGTCTGTGTAGAAAAGAACCAATAGCCCCAGCCAATACCTACAAACTCACAATTTAATGGCATAATTCAGTCATGTAAGCRTAGGCACTGGCCTATTTTCAACTACAAGACAGCTAATACAGAAGTATCAAAGCAACATTGGTGACAAAAGCCAGCCTACTGAAGAGATTAAGACAGTGAGCACTGTTCCTACAATTAATGTGATTAAGTGCATTATCAAATACAAAGGCCACACAACAAAATTCACGATAAATTTAAAACTAGAACATTCCCCCACTTTTTTATCTCATAGCAAACAACAGTGTTTCTCACTAATAAACTTTTGTACAGTTAATTTACAGACACAAAGCATKCAATGCTGAAGCTGCAACCATTATCTATCTACTTTAAAATTTTTTATACTGAACTTTCTTGAATGTTTTAAAAAGCAGTAACTAAAAATCCTTATATATTAGCCCCTCCTACTAACCAAATTTTCTGTTATTCCTTTCCAGGTTCAGCAGAATTAGTGTTGTAACTTACTGCAGTGTTCAAGACAGTGACAGAGACAACTAGAAAAACGCTTCTGACATGTAAGCCAGTTTATATCAAAACATAATGAGACTGCAAGTTAAACAAGTGAATCAACAGAGTTGCTGCAAAAAAAAATCAAAGCCTTACAATTAAAGGTAATAGCCATCTCATAAGATCATCCGAATAATGAATGGTACCAATTGCTTTCAGATAAAYTGGTTTATCATTACAGGAAATGTAAGTGATGACTATAATACCATTGTCTCTAGCCACTTCACTTTAGTCAACATCTATMTTTTCCTGACATTTCTTATTATAGAAGAACAATATCTACGTGCAATCTAGTGTGACAGTAACTCTGAAGAGCCACTACAAAACTGGAAAAATCAAAAATGCCACGATTTTTACTTGGCCTGAACGTTATATGAAAGAAACTGATTAATTTCAGCTCCCTAATTAGCTCTTTAGYGTGTCATTTCCACCCCAAACTCTGAAAAAGGTACAAGGTAGAAAAATAAAATCATTAAAAATGCTGAAAGAACAGCCTTTCATGGCCCTTTTTGATATTTTGATAGTTCTTAAGCAATTAAGCTCTCYATTAAAACATAAAAAAGCTTAGGCTTGTTTCTCCACCCTACCCTAGCTTTGTGTCTAGCACCAATGCAGCGCGATGCAGAAGGTATCTAGCATACTAGGCCTGCCGCGATCCCCCCGATGGCGACGCGCTGTCGGGACTATTTTACTTCCCACCTACTTCACCGTCATTCTTCCAGCCGCAAGTGCAAGAGAGAGACCCATCACCCAGCCTCCCCTTCCATATCTCACAAGCAACTCGAGGGGAACAGCCCTCACGGCTGGCCCCAGACAGCGATACCTCTCCGCAGAAGCGCCCGAACGCAGGGGAGGATCCCCGCTCTCCCGGGCCCAGCCCCTCCAACCCCCGCCGCCACCTCCCCTCCCCCGCGGCTCCCTTCCAGGCACAGGAATAAGGGGAAGTGGGAAAACCGGGGGCGCCATTTTGAGCCGGGAAGGGAGAGAGCAGCCTCCCCTCCCCGCACGCCGGGCTGCCCACCTCGGTCACCCGTACCGCCGCACGACGCTCCCGCAGGCCGGGGGAGCGGCCGCCGGCAGGAGCCGGGACAACGCGCGTCCCCCGCCGTCTCGCCGCCGCCGCCGGGGCCCCCCCGCGCCACCACCGCCTCCTCACCTGGCCGGGGTGGGGGAGCCGGGGCGGCGGCGCAGCGATGTCCGTCCGTCCGTCCGTCCGCGCTCGGTCGGGGCTGGCGGGCGCGCCGGGGCAGGGTGGGCGGAGGAGGGGGAAGAGGGGAGGCGGCTCCTCGGTGGGGGCGAGGGGCGGGGGCGCAGCCGTGCCTCACCCAGCCCCGCCGCCGACTTCCGCCGCCGCCTCTGCCCCGACCAAAACACACTCACACACACACAACACGCACTTCCGCCGCCGGCACGTCACGCCCGCACGCGCCGTGCCCTTCCGGTTCGCCCGCGCCAGTCACGTGGCTCCCTTTCTTTCCCTCCTTTTCCCCTCCTCCTTTTGTTCCCGCTCCCTCCCTCCTTTCTCCCTCTTTTCCAGCCGCTCCCGCSGCAGCCGAGCCGCACTGGTCAGGGYGTTCCCTGGCTCCTGTGTCTYCCCAGCGCCCAGGGGAAGAGTCTCTGGGAGCGACCTGCGCATTTTCCATTTACTGTGAGGGTGGTGAGGCAGTGGAATGGGCTGCCCGGAAAAGTTGTGGATGCCCCGTTCCTGGCAGTTCAAGGCCAGGCTGGGTGGGGCTCTGGGCACCCTGGTCCAGTGGGAGGAGCCCCTGCTCAAGGCAGGGGAGTTAGAACTGGGTGATCTTTAAGGTCCCTCCTAACCCAAACCCTTCCATGATTGAATTCCAGTCGTCTGTGCGTAGGGGATGGGAGCTCAGTATTACAAATCCTGGTTTAATGCTGTAAGAATAAYCAGTTTCCAAATCTATTGGTCAAATGAGTTGAAAGGAGGAGCTATATTGGAAAGCCTGAACGGCAATCAGGAATTTGCCTAACTTTTAAAATAGCCACTGATAAAGCCTTAGAGRTTGGCTCGTTATTGTCAGTGTGCTACAAACTTGAGAAAATGGGTTCCTGACACAGAACAAGTCTTGATTGCTTCAGAGATGGATATAAACAATGTCTTGATTGCTTCATAGCATGAAGCATGCCCTTGTGAGAGAGCAGGATAAGGACCAGTTGGTCACAGCTATAAGTGGGTTGCATAAGAAACAGAACAATCATGATAAGTGTTTCTGCAGTGTAGCAGCTTTAACAAGGTCAAAGAGTTGGCACTTGAAGGAAGTAAAAACCTCCCCAAACTGCTAAGACATTTCATAAGTTTATCAATAATAATGTTTAGTAATTGGTACATTTTAATGAAGATAGTTTAGATATTCCATCACAGGAAATACTGGATCAATGTTTCTGTATTTTCAAAATATGTTCAACCACATGTATTTAAATGCAGCAAAAAATAAGTTATGTAAAGCCTGTGTTCAGTATTAAGCTAGTTTCCCCTTCCCTAGTATGTGTGACATATCATTACTTTAACATACTAAAATGAATGGAGTGAAAAAAGATTGTTCTTTTTCTTTTCATCTTCATCAATTCTTCTTTTCCATATATTTTTCCATTGGTACCAGTTTGGTCTCAGTAATAATTTACCCATTTTGCTTTACTAAGTTGATCACTTGCATAAGTGCTTTTTGAAAGGCCAATATATAACTTCAAAAAAAGTAAAATACTCTTTGTGTTCACCAGTGATGTAGAATGCCAGACTAGCTCCAGAGAAATATGTTTGAAAGTGTACCAATTTCTTTGAGCTGTGAGTTTGCGGAATGTTTGTGAGAGTTGTCCTTTAAATCATGTAATCCTGCCCTAATASGCTGCTTATTTGCCATAACCCTCTGAATGGTCTCAATATGTTTAACTGCAGCATTTGCTGAGAAAACAGCAGATTCCTGATAATCAAATGTTTTAGTACATATCTGATGAGCATACATTTGGGCACCAGATAGCATCCAGTCAACCTGGCAGCTGCTCACTCTCTCAACCTCTCTGCAGTAGGACAGAGAACAGAACAGGAGGAACAWAGCAGGAAAACKTGTGGGYCAAGATAAAGACAGTGYAACAGATGAAGGAAAGAGGAAGGGAAAAGGCAATGGCAACCTCCCATAAACAGAGCAGTGTCCAGCCAGTCTCCAAGCAGCAGCTGACTTGAAAGACATCCCTTTGGTTACCTCCATTTTTTATTGCTGAGCATGATGCTGTGTGATATGGAATATCCCTTTGATCAATTTGATTTGTCTGTCCTGGCTGTATTCCACTCCCAAGTTTCTGGACYATTACCAGCAGCTGCCTGGGTGGGCTGATGACCAAGTGGGGAAAAAGAGAAAGTCCTCACCCTGTGCAAGCACTGGTCAGCAGTAGCTGAAGTATTGCTGTGTTAGTCACAAATCCACAACACAGCACCATTCAGGMTGCTATGAAGAAAWTTAACTCCATCTCAGCCAGACACAGTACATACAGGAACGGTTTTTGATGAAAAATATTACACTGAACCATTTGAATGACTTGAACTAAATTCAMTTCAGAGATTAAATGCTCACGTCATACATGAAGTTTCATGTTTCACTTAATCTATTCAAATGAGGGACCATAACATTCCATATGTAGGGATCATTATCTGTGCTTCTAATATAAATACTTTCTAAAATTGAAATAATCTTTCAGATTATCAGGTGTATCTGAAGTTCAAAGCTGAATGGAATTTTTGATGTAGGAATTCTATTCATGTGACACAGTTACACTAATAAAAAGGGGGTAGAAGGGATAAAGTATTACTTTCACATGAGAGATTAGAGCATTTTTCTCTTCAAAAGGCTTTGGGCAGATTTCAGGTGCATTGCAGTAGGCTATTTTGCCAAAACTGCTAGCATGAATGGAAATCTCACATGCTTTTTGTCTATTAAGTATATAGGCAGTCCGTGGTTTGGATTATGTTATGGATGCACTTTGGAACTCAGATCCCACAAGAGCAGAGCTCCAATACTGTGTGGATATGTGCTGCTAGGAGGTCTGTGTCACCAGGAGGTACTTGCTGGYGAACTCCCTGACTTCAGCGCAGAGCTATAGCACTTAACTCTTGCTTTGTGAAACGCCCAAATTSTTCACAGCTAGTTGATGCTGACATAGAGAGACAATGCTGTTTTTCTGAATGTTGCTTTTCTGAATTTTGACACTGTGAATGTGTGAAATAGAGGCATGAGCAAATAATAGAGATCAAGTTACTGTATTTTGGGCTGGACAGTTCTAGTGAGTTCTAGTGGTGAAGACAAGTTTCTTCTGTTGTAATCTAAACAAATAGATTTTGAAGGAAAGCTCTGAAATCATACGGAKGGTCCTACCAGTGGTCACATTTTCATATTTTATTTCATTGTGGTTTATATATCGAATTCAAATACCAAAAGTGAAACTGTTCTGGCTGATATTAACAAATTTATGTTAGTGGGTCATGGTTTCACCAGGTGGATTTCCATATCTTTTAGCATTTCTCAGCAGAGTTTAATAGTACGTTCTGTTCAGCCTTTTTGTGTTTAAATCTCATGCTAGATGTGTAATAATAAGTGGAAGTTGGCTTCCACAATCTGTTTATTGTGTTTGAACTTCCCATTTTTTTTGATGTGTCTATCTGCTATAACATTCTTCTTTTCTGTCTTCTGTCTCTACTTGTATACATTGTACCTACCATTGGCTTGATCATATTGTTACATATAGTGTGCAGCACACAGGAAACAGTAATTTTCTACCAGTAAATGAATTGAATAAAAAAACATGAAAGCAACCAGGCAGTAACAGCAAACTGCTTCAAAATGGCTGATGTTCTTCAGGCATTTCACAAAATTTGGAGTGTTTTAGATGGAGTTCTCTGACCTTCTTAAGGATACTTTAAGGATATCTTAAGATACTTTAAGGATATCTTAAGATACTTTAAGGAATCTACAGACCTAGTGCTTTGACTGTGGTCTGCGCCAGCATCATAGTCAGAGCGAAAACTATGTTGCAGAACATGGGGTGTTTGTGCTTCATAAAGAAAGTAAAATGCAGGATTTTGGACAGTTTCCATTCCTCAGTTTTAGCCTAAACAAGACAGAAAAARGCATTAGATTTTGGGAATTGAATGTCAGAAACTAGTGAAATGTCAAATACTATTGAGGAAAAGAAGGTGATGCTTTGGAACAGAAAATTTTGTTCAACTTTTTCCAAACAGCTTTCTCTAGTGATCCTACTTTTTTTTTTTTTTTAACATAGGAGTTGACAAATTTATGCTGCAGTAAATAAAGTTTTTTTTTTCCTAAAATTGAGTTCAATTGATTTTTGGTAATTCATCAACTTATGTTTAAAATTGCAGGTCCTTCCCACTCTACAAACATTCTTTCTGTGGCCAAAATAACTTTCAGTATAAAAGAATGAATATGATACTGCTTCCAGATTGAGAAGAATTATAGGAAATAATGTATATTGTTAGTAGGTTTTAAATTGATTTATAWTGGTTTTTGCAGAAAAGAATACAATCATAGAGAGGCAAAAAAAGGCGGAGGACTTCTGCTGTAGTTGTTTCTGCAATAGGCATTCTTTTTACATGCCCAAGTCCTATTTTTTTGCCTTTGACACAACCCACTCGATCGGGGCTGAGTGGATGCTTTCGACTAGCAAGTGTGGCCCCCTACTGGGGAAAAAAAAAGGTAAAAATACATCAGCAATGTTCAGAATGCATACAAATGATAATAATATAAGCACAGGTAAAAAGCCAGCTAGAAATATAACAAACACAAGGATAAAAGATTCAAGTTCCAGTTTCTGCACCCTATTATTAGCATCTAATTTTTACATTACCACACTTTGCTCTTTCTCTGTATAAATAGTTCTCCCTTCTGACAACTTTACTACATAGAAATTGTACCTTCTGATGAATGGATGAATGGATCACAAGGTAAGACATAACCAATCATTTTTGAACCCAAAAAGTATTGCTTTATTTGGCAGGAATAAACTTCAAGAAAAGTATTGCTTTATTTGGCAGGAATAAGCTTCAAGTAACAACAAATAAGATTGAAATATGAAATGAACACATTATGACTTTACAAGAGCATTAGTTCTCAAATGGACATGGATGTTCTATATTAGCGGTGTGGTGCAGCCACGTTTACAGCAGAAAAAGACACAACTTATTTTAAAAAAGGGCACCAGCATTGCCACAGTTAGATCATAGTTGATGCTAACATGATGCTTCTTGCCTGGAGAAGACTGAGCTATGTTCACATGTGCTGRAAGTTAGCTGATCATAGCACTGACTGCTTGTGACTGCTTGTGACTTGGACATGGCTGGAGCAGGCCATCAGACAGCAGTGGCTGCCTGAGCCTCTCACCTCCCATTTGTACAAAAGGAATTTAGTTTTAATTTAGCATCATTCATTTGCAATCCTTATCAAACAAGTGTTAGAGCAGAGAATAAAATGGTAGCAGCTGGTAATGTTTGTTGATTAATTATGATTAAGGTCTGTATGTTTATCTAAAATGGGTTTTGCCATCGTAGGACTATAGAGAAGGGAGCAGGATGTGATTAAACTTAGATGTTTTGCTGGGAAAAAGGGATAGTTTGTTAAATGTCATCTGAGAATAAAAGTGTTAGTAAGAACTGAAGGTCTATTAAACAGTGGTAAAACTTGTTCAGTCTTACCCATCCTGCTTTTCTGAAATAATCCACATCTGTTTCTGAAAGGCAAATACATTGGGTTAGATATACGAGGTGTTGACTCATTTAAGACAAACAGTGAGAGCACTCACGTGTCTRATACATGGGGTAGTGCTGACAGGCTTCTCTCACCCACCTCTGTGCTGTGTGTGGGTGGGAACTGCAGTTTTCTCTAGAGGAACAGCCCCAGCATACAATATTTTAATAACATGTGAGAACATTTGTGAAAGAGGCTGTATTTTTTAATACAGTAATAAAGATTAAAAGTTTGATCACTTTTGACCACGTAAGACCTCATTTCAACCTCAAGATTCAACCCGCCTGTGTGAAAGATGGTAGATATTCAAAGATTTAATAATAAAAAAGGAATGCGCGACCTCTGTGGTTGGGCCTTAATTATTTTTCTAGATCAGTACATTTACRGAACAGCCCAATGCGGTTTATTTTGCTGACTTTCCTTGAGGGGTGTGAGATGTAAAAGGGACGGCGGGTGCTGAGGGAGGTGGAGAGAGGGTTGTGAGGGGTGAAGATGGGGGCCGCTGGGTGGGAGGGCATGGCGGAGCACTGTCAGGGGCAGGACGGGGGCCGATGGTGTGAGGGGATGGCGGAGCGCTGTGAGGGGCAGGACGGGGGGCGATGGTGTGAGGGGATGGCGGAGCGCTGTGAGGGGCAGGACGGAGGGCGATGGTGTGAGGGGCATGGCGGAGCGCTGTGAGGGGCAGGACGGGGGGCGATGGTGTGAGGGGATGGCGGAGCGCTGTGAGGGGCAGGACGGGGGGCGATGGTGTGAAGGGAATGGCGGAGCGCTGTGAGGGGCAGGACGGAGGGCATTGGTGTGAAGGGGATGGAGGAGCGCTGTGAGGGGGCAGGACGGAGGGCGATGGGTACGAGGGGATGGCGGAGCGCTGTGAGGGGCAGGACGGGGGGCGATGGGTGCGAGGGGATGGCGGAGCGCTGTGAGGGGGCAGGACGGAGGGCGATGGTGTGAAGGGGATGGCCGAGCGCTGTCAGGGGCAGGACGGGGGCCGATGGTGTGAAGGGGATGGTGTGAGGGGATGGCGGAGCGCTGTGAGGGGCAGGACGGGGGGCGATGGTGTGAGGGGATGGCGGAGCGCTGTGAGGGGCAGGACGGGGGGCGATGGTGTGAGGGGATGGCGGAGCGCTGTGAGGGGCGGCCGCACCGCCCGCCTCGCACGAGCGCTCCCGGCGCCGCCGCCGCCGTTACCGAGCGAGCAGGGTAAGCGGCGGCCATGGCGGAACAGCTGCCGCCCTGCCCCGAGGAGAGGGCCCCCGACGGGACTCCGGAGGAGCCGAGGGTGAGTGACTTCGCCGCCGCAGTCCCAGCCGTGCTGTGGAACCACCCGTCCCTCTCTGCGCCTTTCTGGAGCGGGGTCTCGCCGGGAAAGGGGCTGGAAAAGGGGCAGCGTGTGGGAGGGGAAGGCGCGTCTCCCTGCGAGACCCCTCTCTTCCAGAATTGGCTATGGCTTCTTCTCACCCGTCARAACGGGGGCAATGACTACATCCCATGCGTAGCGTCAGATCCGAATTTGGCTAATTGTGYATTATTACAATGACTTTCGTTTTGCCTTATTTATTTTTTGATTGCATTGTTTAGGCTGAAAAKTTATGTCCCGAAGACAAGACGGTTACAAGTTCTCCCAAAGAGTTACTCAGGGTAAGTTGGTTTTGAAGAGGCTCCTACAGGAGGCTTTTCTATACATCCCTTGTCATTTGAAACTATCCCTTATTTCAGTATTAGTTTTAGTCACTACTTCTGGCAGGTCATTTTCATTCCACGTGTTTTACCAAAATTACCATGCTTGCTTAGTTGGGACTAAATAGAATTGTTTTCGACAGTTTTTTCCCTCTATTAATACTATTAGAGTAATTAATTGGGGATTATTGGTGCTTCTGATAGAGGTTCTTCTTTATAAGGATGCTTGTCAGAGTTGTGATTCCCACTGGCCCTTCTCAATACCCGTGGAGAGTCGGAGGCTGCTGAGACACAAAGGGATCCTATAAATAGAACGAATCCTTTAAATGATAATTAAAAAAATCACCAACACTCTGGTTTATATAATTTCCAAAATTGCTTTATTGATGGTGGGATTGCTGTGAATCAGGTTAAAKGTTTCTGAAATTTACAAGTGTAACATCTAGTTTTCATCAAGAACATGTGAAGTAGCTGTTACCCAAATTAAAAATGGGAAGCGTTGAAAYTTAGCAATGCTAGTTTGATAACATTCAGGCTGGGTTATTTTGACCTTATGCCCACATAATCAGCATCTGCAGGGGCATATGCATGTATTACAACCCTAAAGCATCCTTATACTTTGTTTTTACCTCTGGAATCACACTGAAATRTCTGCAGTACATTTTCTTTTCATTAATGTTTTGTGAATGTATGGTGTAAATTGCTTTTTGCTTTGCCTTACATATAGCCCGTTACTCCGAGTGTTGTGCGAAAGTTTCGAAATACAACAGATCCAGCTCCTGGTGCTAAAATAATATTCTATGGCACAGCAAATGATCCCGACATTGCAAGTCACTTGACRCATGGCATAAAGACAACCTCYRAAATCACTGTAAGAATGTCACTCAMTTACTTTTGTTTAAGAATGAACYTCTTAAGAGTGTTCTTAATAAGAGCAGCTGWTTTCCTCRTAGTCAGGAATATRCGTACATGGTTGAGTGATTTAKAGTGCAGCATTTCACAGCTGTTGTRAATTACCTGAGTTCTGAGGTAAAATCATAGAATATATTTAGCAATATTGAAATAGGGAAATATTTGAATTTCAGTGACTTATTGGTGACATTTTGTAGTGACTCCTGAATTATTAATTTCATTTCAAGATTTAAGTTAATGGAAGTCTTCTACCCACAAATTTTKCTACTTTCTTCTTCTGTGTTACAGAGGTAAAACCAGTTGAGCTCTTAGCAAGAGAGCTGTTATCTGAGAATGTGGTTGTAGTTTGGTGCAATTATTATGTATGCTTTCTTACCCTTGGCTTGAAACTGATTTTGTTAGCTAAAAAGTCATGGTTTGGATATGTCAAACTATTTTGTGTATGTTATTTAGAAATTACCTATGTAATCTATAATCAATCAACTGAAGAGATCATTGGTAGATTTATCACAGAGTTATGTTCATATTTCTAAAAATAGCAGTTGTGTTGGTAAAGTGCACTTTTATGAAGGAAGTAAGTTCTAGTTTTAGAGGATGTTGAGTAGGACATTTATTAGGCATATCCAAAATAAAAGACAACCAGGTTTTGGTGTCCCTCCTGAAAAGTTTTAAGTTGAATGGGTTGATCTGTTTAGCCTATACTGTCTGTTGAAGACTTTGAATTATTAATTAAATATTAATGAGAGGAASAGTTGGAAGCCTAGTGAGTTTGCTAAACATGGGTTTGGATCAATTGTACTTCTCTCAATTTTTCTTTATATTACATTCAGTGAGAGTCTAATAATAAGCCTTCTCCAGAGTCTCAATTACTTTGATGGATAGTGAGCTAAGAAAGATTTAGTCAGAAAATGTGTAGATTAACAAGGGGAAAACTAGCATAAAAATAAAAAATCTACCTTACCATAAGTATTTTATTTAGCTGGAAATTCAGCATTGCACTGATTATTAGTTGTCTTCTCTCAAGATACAGTTTTGGTTTGCAACTAGGTGGATACAATTATGTCAGTGTAACCRTGTAAGATCTCATTAGAACACCAGCAAATTTTGTGTGAGTAGTCATAGTGAGGTGTGAATGTTCAAAGTTTGCTGGTTTTCCTGCCTCCGGTATTGTTTGTCATCTCTTCAGGCAGCTTCATTGATAAATCCAGCTAATAAAAGTGAATTTCAAGAAAAGATGCAAAGCATGAAAGAAGCAATTTACTCCAGTCATCGTGAAGCACCTTTGGGTAGATCACATGATCAATCTTCCAGGTTACCTGAGGGCTTGGATATAATTAATACTACATTTGGAATGAAAGTCTTGAAAGGTAGGAAAATTTGCGATTAAAACAGGTTTCCTGTAAATACAAGATAATCTTCAGTTTAGTATCTGACAATCTTCAGTTTAGTATCTGACACATGCTCTATAATTCCAACAACTCCATTTTAACAGAAGAGTTATTATATGACAATTACTGAAAGGCCTAAAAATTTTTCGGTTCCGATGAAGAAAGAAGCAACTGAGAACATATGGTAACTAGTAGAACTTCTGGCTTTCTTCCTGATCTGTCTAATGAGAGAAACTTCCTTGACATACGTATCTTTCCTCCCTAGACTAGAGGAAATTGTATCTGTGTTGCCCATGTAGCTTTCTTGCAGAAGTTCTGTCCATCTGGGTTTCTGTGAATCTCTCCCTAGTCCCATGTCATTATGTTATTACATTGACTRTAGATTGACTAGAAATGTGGTAAGAAGTGTCATTCTTCCCCAATATTAGCAACTTCTCTGACAAGATACTATTTACAATTAAGAACGGATCAAACAAAACATCCACCTCCAAACCTCCCGCAACCATACATTATTTATTTTTTTCCAGATATATCAGCTGGTGAGGTGGTAAATCCACCAAAAACCTCCGAGGAAGTGGATAAAGAAGCGAGAGAAGCACATGATTTGTATGTTCTGTCACATGAAGATTATTACGTGGGTACGTTCAAAGGCTGATAAGAAACCCTATAGAAAGTTTCTCTATGTGTGTTCAGTACATACTGCATGCTATTTTTTGAGATGAAAACTATTACTTGTAACTACTGTATTAATACAATATAAATTATTAAAAAGATAATTACATAAAAAAACATGCAACTGAGAAACCATGATCTCATGATGGGCATTGAAAACAGTATAAGAACTTAATGAAGGAATTGGAAGCCTTTTTGGAAGATTTTTTTTGGGTGCTATTTGAAGAGCAAAATATTTCCAGGAAACTAGAAATTCATAGCAACCCTGGTTGCTTATTTAGTTTGGTATCATCTATGCCACTGAAAACAATCTCAGATTTAAAGTCACAGACTGTGAGCCCAACTCATTTTAGTTATTTTTCCTCTAGTTCCTCTCTTGCATCAGGATCCAAACAGAATTTCAGAGCAGTCAGACTTTCTGATGAGGAGTTTAGCATTAAGTTCTGGTTACAAAGAATTCCAGGCTGCTGAGTGGCTCTCTGGAATGCAGGTTCCTCAGCATATGGCATCCTCCCCTTGGGTCTGTCCCACAGCCTCTGTCTCTGCCCTTCCAGTGGGCTGTGCCTGTACTCCATCAGCCTCTGGGGCCTATACCTACGTGATGTGGTCTGCCCAGGCATGGTCACCCTTTATTTCACAGGTGTGCACAGGAGTAGAGTGACAAATAGCACTCTAAAATGCAGTACATATATTCATTTTGCAGCTGCTTCTATTTTTCCCAGTTTCATGACTTTCACTTTAGCCAAAAATGTAAATTTTATGTGGAGACCATTACATAGATGTGAAATTATAGTACTTTGTTGTGTCACTGAGAAATTCTACTACAAATAGTATTGGTATAAATCGACCAAAGCCGTAATTTTATTTCCCCTCTTCCCTGCCTATCTTGGGTGTTTTAGTAGAATCATTCATTATCTGTTTCTGTCTCTTTTGTAACTTCCATCCACCAGATCATGGAGAGGCCAAGCCAGAAACAGACTGACAGAACAAAAGTCAACTATGTGCCCCAGGAATTGCATAAAAATTCTACACTGCCATATAGCCATATGAAGGCTTTATTAGAAACCCTACAGTTAACAATATTTTTGAAAGTTCTAATTATCATTCTTTTTAGAAGGTGATTGAAAAGACCTTGAAGAAAAAGAATGCCAGGTTTTTTTTTTCTGTGACAAAAAAACATAGCAAGAGCATATCTGAAAATGTATCACCTCAAGAACATATTTGCATATGTTAAAAACAAACAATAAATCAAATGGTACACARCACAGGTATAGACATTGTAAAGCAATTTGTTTGCATGACCCTCACCACTTAGGCTACATGGTTTCATTTATTCTGTTGGTCTCACTTTTAATCAGACATAAAAGAACATCCAGCTATTTTACCACTGAGACAGTTTTTGCTTTTTATTTTGCCTTTTATCTTCACTTTTGACAATGAGATTATTCCTAACTATTCAATAAACAGGAGGAATGCAAAATATTTATCTTTAATTGAACAGATTTGTTAGCTACTTGCTTTTGTTTCTTCATTGTTTTGTCTTAAGAATGAAGATACTGGGTACATTTTTCTTTTCGAGGTGTATTACACAGGTTGAAATGCCTATTTTTTCTGCAGGGGAACCAGTCAATAGGAAGTATAACTCACACTTCAACAAGTCTTATGTTTATGGAAAGGAAACCCCTCACTTTGCAGATGGGCGAAATGCAGCCAACAGCTTAAATTGGGTCTTGGACCTGGATTCGTAAGTTGCAATGAGTTAACTAGTTATTTAATGGRATGAAATATCAAGAAGAGTGGGTCTTCATATTTGAAGAAAATGGTGTATCTCATGATCCTATCCTTAGCTGTATTGAACCAAATAGAAGATGCAAGGTATGATTTTAAGAACAGTTTATCCAAATCACTTTTACCATATAACAGCACTTAGCATGTCTTAGGCATTATGTGAAGTCCTTAGATTTTAAGTAGCATGATACTTTAATTAATAAGTTTGTGTTTGTCTTGAGAGGAGTTGCTGTTTTATTTTAATATATAATAATGTTTAGAAGTTTTTTTTAAAAAATCTTGAATATTTTTATACAAATATGTGCAGGAGTTATTTTCATAATTTGTAGGAAGAGAGCACCACACCTTGTGTCAAAACGAAGTGATGATTTCAAGGAAAAATACCAGCCTTTGGTTGGAAAACCTTTTGATCCGTAAGTAAGCAAAGATACCTTCCAAGCACAAAATTCACTCACTTTTACCATTTCTCCAATTGATTTTTATCTTTTGGATAAAAAATATAACTGTGTATTCAGTGCTTCCAGTGCAGCTCTCATTTAACAGAAAAAGGTCTTCTACTTGCCCTAATTAGTCTGATAAGTACTACAAGTTACTCTGACTATGTAATGGARTTAGATCTTACTGTTTAAGTGGTCTGTATCTGAATTGATCAAATTTATATTAAACAGCTTACAAGCACTCTTTAAGACATTTTTTCCCATATTTTTGCAGTTAGGAGGGTTTGAGAGAACTGAAACATCTCCCCTAATGCTTTGGGATTTGATAATTTCTCTGACACTGTTTTTAGTCATCTTTATTACATCATTTGTAATCTCACTTTATTTCTTCCTTGGAAAAGGAGATGYCACTAAATTGAATTATTACCTAGCAGCTTTAACCAATCTCAGTTGAATCATTAGAATGACTGAGGTTTATGAAGCAGTCAGGAACGGTTTTCTAACTGTAATCAGGAACAGTGCTTAACAAGCACCACAGAAGTCGCAAGGTACAGTGGGGGCAGGATCCAGGTGTGCTGCAAATCTAGGGCTCCTGAATGTATACAAAGGCTCTAGATTTCTGTAAAAATGTGTCTGAAGGCTCACAAACAGCATTTTTGACTTCGGTAGCAAAAGTTAATTTTAAACTCAAGATCCCAGGYGTAAGTGAATCTGGAGAAGTGTGCTCATAAGTACATGTGAGGAGTGAACACAAATATGAGTCAGTTTCTCCTCTCCCCTTCACTGTGTCCCAACTTACTGTGAGATAGACCTGGAGCATGAGCAACATGAGACAGTGTGATCAGTCAGGGATGGGTTACAGTGCAGGCTGAAACCCAGCACTAATATTACTAGACATATAGAGACTAACCTAATCTTAGTGAATTTTACATCATCTGCATCCTATGAGTGATATGAAAATGATAAAAGGAAAATTCACATAATAGTTTTTAGGTTACGGTGTTTTCACTTCTGTGTGTGTTTTTGTTTGTTTGTGCTTTAGAACACAGCACTGGTTATCTTTTCCATTCCGATGGGGATTTTTGATTATTTAATTATTAAAAATAAAATGAGCATTACACCTTTTGCAATGAAATAAACAAACAGTTTTTTAATGTCACAAACAGAATCCTCAATTTCTGSTTAATAAAGTCTGAGTCTGTATCCAAGTTTCCCACATGGATACAGGCTTAGTTGCTCATTTTGGTAGACACAAAATTGCATGTGGAAAAGCAGAGATGTGATTCAATTTTTTCATGTTAGCCAAAAGTAGTTTATTTGAGGTGTTTCAGYTGGGGATTTTGTCCTAAATACTCCTATTATTTGACTATTATTGCACCTTTCTGACATTTCTATCATTTTCTTAGGAAAAAATAGGATAGAATATTTTTCCTTTTAATGAGCATAAATGTTCAAAAAGTTAATGTTTACATTTGGCTGTGTTACATTACAAATAGGGAATGTTCTAATCAGCTTTGTAAAGGGATGTTTTTCTGAAATGGTAACTTTGAAACAAAGTCCCAATAAATTTTAGGTGAACTATATGTATAATCTCTAATTATATAGTATTTTTTTAATAGTGTCAGAGGTTTTATTTTGGCTACTAATAAACTGACAATTAACAAAGAAATGTCCTTATTGACAGTATAGCAGACACTATGAATGTWCCCCCAGACCATACATTTGGATTGATGATCCCTCATGATGAATACGGTAAGTTCAAGGGCAGAATAAAATCTTACCTTGCTGATGAAACTATGCCGAAGTAGTTTCTGTTGGTTGTGTATATAGGTTTCCTAAAATCTTAAGAGGCAAGGTACAAAATTTTATCTACAGCAAATTTTTGGAATGAGAATTTGAGAGGATTTGAATTGCTAGGAGACAAAAAATAAATACTATAAATAAAGAAGCGTTAGGTTTGGGATTATCATGTGGTGTTTTTTTTCTCTTTTAAAATCTTTGTGATTGGATGTAACAGAATGGGAGAAAACCCTTATTAACATCAAAGTGACAAATTAAAATGGCTATTTAAATCAATTATGCATCTTCCCTCTCAATGACTTTTCCAGCACTTCTCTAAAAAGAGCAAARGTAACAAGGAACAGTAAATAGGAATAATAAGTTTCTGAAGATTGCAAGGAGACAGAAAGGAGAGTAAAAATAGAAAAACCTATTAATTTTCATTATGACAAAATTTAGAAAGCTAGTCAGCTCAAATAGTCAATGTTGGGGTTGATGGTGTTTTAACATTATGTTCAATAACTAGGGTATACAGTCAATGATTGGGAAGCAAAAAAATAAAGTGGATCAAAGTTATTTAATTAATTTGGACAGGAGAAAGCCTGTTGGGAGAGTGTGTAAGCTTTTACATATTTTACTATGTAATGTAATAAAGTTTGTGCTATAAGGAAGAGCAGCAGGAAATRAACAAAAGAATTCATTATTAACAAGCAAAAGACAATGCTTGTACATTGCTGTTAGAGGGGGCTTAGGCAAGCTACTCATACTTGTTACTAAACTCTTTATTAACTTCTTGCACTCTAGAGAGTGACCTGAGTGTCTTTGGGGATTTGAATGAAGATTGTAGCTCAGTGTGCCAAAGTGTTAAAAAATATTAATAGAATTAGGATATATAGAATGTAGCAACAGTGACAYAAAAATAGCACATTGTCTTTCTCGAAACCAATGATATATACTTATCAAAAATATTACATTGGTTCTCATAAGTATCCGGAACATGACAGACTGGAAGTGGTAGATTAATGATACATGTTCTCTTTTGCTCAATTATCTGGACATTGACTAACAACCACTGCTTTCAGAAGCTTTTGGAAGCGGTAGATAGGTTTGTGTAGCTACATTATGATCCAAAAAATTTTATGTTAGCTGGGTGTGAGTAGAGAAATAATCATATGGACCCTTTGATCTTGTAATGAAATTGCTCTATCAGCTGTTCAACAGTGCTGAAAATCAGCATCTTGAAACTGAAATTCTCCTTTTCCTATAGAATGCAAGTTTTTTTTTAGTTTATTTTTTGTAAATGTTTGTTTTTTTGCATATGCACAACTAATCGCGGAATTGTTAATTTTCATAGATGTTAATGATCTTCTTCATGTCCGGGTTCCGTGTGAATTCCTCCGTGGGAAGGACAGAGTTATTTTGACTGCAGTTCGGCAAAACTTGAAGAAAGCTAACTATGAGAATTTTGATGTGTTACTGGCAGCATTAAGACATTTTGATRAGGTTAGTGCTCTGAAAAGGTACAAATGTAAAGGAATGTGTGACATTAGTGCTCTTGTGCTGTAGAGATAAGACATGAAGGAACATAAGCAGAGCAAGGTAAATACGAATGAATGCTGTAACTGTGAAGGTAACTTCACCGTTATTGTATGTTTCATCTTCTGTGGAATGCAATGGAATTAGACACAATGGTACTTGAAGCTTTTTACAATACTATTTGAAATATTCAAGTTAGAGGGAGCAAGGGGCATGCAAGCAGGAGTAATCTTAGCAATTTTTGGACTTCTAAATTTGGCATTTCTTTGTAAGGGAAAGCAGAGGAAAGGATTATGTTCATATTTTCTTCTGAGCTGTACTTTTTGGCTGAGTTGCCAAGCATCAGAATTTCAGATATTTTCTTTCTTTTTCTCTGGAAAAAAAAATATAATTGACATTTCATATGTAACATTAATTGTAATGTATACAGAATGATTGATGTCTTACTTTCAAAGACATTTTAGCTTTTCCTCAACATTTATGTTTAAATTGTTATCTTGTCACAATACCCTGTCACACCTTTACTCTCAAATTATTGTATTATATAAGTTGAAAATTACTTTTTGACACTTTTATATTCAGATTTCTCATTTGTAAAATACCTAGGGTTTATTTTTGTACTCAGCAATGATAGCTCTTCTTGAAATGGTGTTTCTGATGCAATTTGTATATCTGGATATMTATTTGATAAACGTGTATGTGTTTCTTTTGCTGAAGTTACTTTATGATGGGAACCATAGAATATAACAACTGTTTTATTTTCTTTATAATAGAATGGTGATGGAATTATACACAAAGACAACCTACGAAAGATCTTTTTTCAGCTGAATGTGAATCTAGATGATGAGCTCCTGGATTGCTTAATTGACTGTTGTGATTTGCATAAGGATGGTCTGATTAATTACCGAGACTTTATAAACTTTCTGAACTGGAAAGATAAAATGGGTGTTAAAGAGTTTGAAGAAAAAATAATTAGAAAAGGTAGATGCCTTAATACTGGGAAATTGTGGGGATGATCTTGTTAGAATAGCTGTTGAAAGGACATTGCTGTTTTAAACTAGATGCTCCTTTAGAAGTGTAGGATTTAGAGGGTGCATTTACCTTGCTAACTACCAGCAGCATCTCAGCTTCAAATGTGTTTCAGAATCCTGGAATCCTGTGTTGCTCACTGAGATTGTCRCTGGGAAGTTTCCTTAATACTGCAGATCAAGAGAAAGTAAAACATCTCCTAGAAGCATAATCAGAAATGCAGATGAATTATTTTACCTCCTTTACAGTTATATAAGCAATGTTTTTTTGCCTCTTAGTCTATAATGTTTTGATAGTATATCTTGGCTGTACCATAATTTTTGTATATAGGGAAAAATTTAGATGCCTATCTTCCTGAAGACACAACGAAAGATGATGAACCACTGGTGAAGCAGGAGCATCTCATATTAAAAGAACCAGGAAGCTCAGAAAAGACACCAAAACCACTTCCAAGATCAACAGGCCGTATTTATGAAAATTATCAAACAACATCTTCTCAGTATAGTGCTGCAGTAGATGGTATCCCAGGATCCTGTAAGTACRGTGGACTGTGCTGCTCACTTCTGAACATTATTTAAGACACAATTGGGAGCAAAGTTAAAAAGTATTGCTACAGGTTCAGCAATGTGCCATTGTGAATTAATTTATCTAAGCTAAGTTTTTTTTAAGATTGTTGCTTGGAAGTTGGAAGCTTTAGTCTGTTCAAAACATTGATGTTAATCAGATGTCTTTGGGAAGTCATGCTAGTAATTTCGGGAGAGCCATATCTCCTTGGATTTGCCTAAAATATTTCCAGCTGGAAATACTAAGTACTGGTATATTACTGCAAGTTCCTCTTTTCGTGCTTCATGATGTAGCTGAAGCCAGGATTTCTAAAAATGTAAAAAAAGATACGAGGAAGAAAATGATATAACTTTTTATCAAACCTATGTCAGTCAAAGCATCACGTTTCTTCTTACTTCATGCAAAATGTTTTATCCTCCCTGGCACTATAACTCCATGATCCCTGTGGATTGATTTTTTTTTTTTCACAGGTTATCCATTGTGTGGTATGCCAAGTATTCGTTCAGATATTCCTGTTCCTCGAGTTCGCCGCCTCAGTGACACAACTAACTATGGTGACCAGGGCACTGGTTTTGCAGTATTGTTCCCATCTGTCTTCGGTCAAAGGGGAGTGTATGAGAGAGATCTTTTAAAAAAGAGACCAAAGGCAGAGGTACAGTGAATTTCTTCAGAATATTCTTCCACAATAATTGTTCCACTAGCCATGTAGGAGTGGGAAGTAATATTATCCAATAAACAGGCTGTAAAACTCATTTCTGCAGCATTACCATCTTGCTTTACATCCATTCAACTATCTGAAAAATATGTACTCTTCACATTCTAAGTTATTCATAAAGATGGTAGATATTAATTTTATTGAAATCCAACATATTCAGATTTCTGAGCAAGGTCTCAGGCAACATGGTTTAATAGTAAAGTTAGCCCTGCTTTGATTATGTTGTTGGACGGAGGATCTCCAAAGGTCTCCTAATCTAAGTTATTCTTAAAAAGCACCAGAAGAAGATTTTTACAAGYGTATAAAAAGAATTTCTATCACAGAGGATTGTTTAGTGGAAAATTCTACCAAGAGTGTCTCTCCTCAGAGGAACTTGACAGGTTTTGCTAATGACAAATTCAGAAAACCACTTGAATATAACTTTTAAATGCTCTGCTGAGTCACAGTTGTAGGCTCAGATCTACAAAGGATTTGTGCAGTGATAGAASACGTTGGTAGTCACACAGCAATGCTGTGCTGTCTCATAATTCTGAAGAGGAAGATGGGACATAGAGACTGTAGGGACCTACTTGGGGACTCCATAATTTTTCTCTCTGATACCTCTGCAGGCTCCTACCACTCTGTTTTCTCAGAGACCAGAGTTTTTCCCACATAAGTAATAAAACAACTTTGCTGCTTCTTCTTCAGTATTGTTTACCACTTTGTTCTTACATTTGTATGTGATTTATAGTGAAAAAATATTAAATGATAACTTTGTTTCCTTAAGTACAATTTATGAGGGAATTGTAATGAAATGTGAAAATCCAATCTAAAATGAGAAAAGAAATCATGGCAACTTATTTCTCTACTACTCATTATATTAAATATTTAGTCATGTTTGAAAGCAGATCTGAAACTTGAATAAATCTTACAGGAAAGGATGTTGCTAGTTAGTCACCGGGGGTAAAAGGTGTGGTGTCATGTTCTATACATACCCATAAAATGCCTTGTCAGAATGTTGTGTGCATGAGCATTTACTACTTAATAATCTAGCTCTGAAAGCAGGAGTGCAGCACATAGCTAACAGTAAATAGAATTCATGCTTCATTGAAAAGCCAATTACATCTGYCAAGCTGTAGTAGATAGAACTCTTCTTTGAAGTTATAAGATGTCCTGAGATTTCATACTCTATTKTAGACTATACCAGCTATACAGAATTTAGTCAGAATCACCTCTGAGTCAGTTGAAACACCCTATGTTCATGAAATTAACTGTTTGGGAATTTCATGATTATTGTTTTGRTATGTATAATTAATGTTTTTGAAAAAATCATAGTTAATTAAATTATTATATGATTATTCGCTGTTATTATTAGATGAAAGCCCAGAATAATTTAATACTACCAGMTTTTGTAAAGACTGGTAGAAATGAAGGCAAATTCTGACTATAAAATAGTTTMATCAGGCGACTCATCGTGTTGCAGAAGAACGAAATAGTTCTTGGGCTTGCTGTTTTCTTCACTGAAATTCTCTCCAGTCTGTTGAAGAGAATAGAAATTATGTAATTGAGGAATAGTGTGTAATTTATATGCTGCATGATCATGTTAATGRTAGGTGAGAGCGAGTTTAATCCTGTCTGCACACAACATTCTGTGGTTTGGTCAGTGATGATTTTACAGCAGTTGATGAGTCAGGACAGAGCTCTCTCTAAATATGGTAAAGCCAAATTATGAGAGCATTTGTTYTCCCTGCAGTGGTATCCTGTGATGGAATATTGCTTTCAGTCTAACTTTTAGAATTCTCTAGCTTGTTGAAGGCATTGGATCAGGTCTGTTATGTTTTACTTGTGGGTAATATGATTGGTTTAAATGAAATAATGCCTATGATTAAAGAAACAAAATTCAGTCCCTTTTTTTTTCTCCTGCAATTTCAGCTTGCATAAACTTTCATAGATATATTGTCTAAGATGAAACTGAAAATTTGATATAATGGGATCAGTCCTATATTTATACAAAAGACAGTTTTAGAGAAAGATGATCAAAAAGATTGATTTGACTGTGATAAAAGTCCTGCTTGATCAAAGCATGCATAAAATGTCCATAGCATAGATATAACACACATGTACACACACATATATGATACAATTGAAGAAGCCAAATGTTTGCTGATATTAACAGAAGCACAGGGTATGTCAGTATTCTTCTAAAGTTACCTTCTTCKAATGAGTCAAGTCAGTGTAATGAGGCATGCAACAGGAAGCACCCAAGTAAGAAAATATGGAAAACGTCCCTTGTGCTGAGTTATTTTGGTGTAAAATAAGAACAAGGCCCAAAGTTGATGTAGACCATTTCACTTTTGTCACTTCACCCACTTACCCGTACTAGCTGATGATATTGTGTATGGTAGTCTTGTTGTGAAATGCAGATAATAAAATAATCTGATCTGTGCTGGTAACTGCAGACAGCAAAAATAGGGTGGATAAATAGAACTTGATTTAGGGCTTTTAAAAGACATTTATTTTTCGCTGAGTCTTCTGTGTTTGATTTCTTCCCAGTGTTAAAGCAGTGCACCAATATCACTTTATCTTCCATTGAAATACGATTCAGATTTATTTAAATAGGAGCTTCTTTGGTTAAGGATGCAGGATGTGGTCTGTAGTTTTAAGAGTGGGAAAATATTCTTTGGCAATTAGAGATTGCTAAATATGTAAAAACTAGACTCTGTATAGTTTAACCAAGTGCTTACCAGAATTACATGAACTGTATTATTTTGTATTTTTTTTTGTAGATTAAAGAAGTGCTCCACAATATTGGCATGAATGTTGCAGATGAAAGGTTTGAAGAACTATGGAAGCAAGTGTGTACAAAACATGAGATAAAAGAGCTTTGTGATTGTGAAGAAAGTATATGGAATATACTGAATATGATACATGAATCACACATAAAATTCTAGTCTCTGATTCTGTTCTGTGGACTTTGCTTTTATTTAAGGTAGCATCAGTCAGAATTCTGATGCTGAATACAATAAATATTTATATGTGTATTTATATATATGCTCTCTTTCTGAGTAGTGGGTTTACCACATATGCATGAATCATTGCAGTTGGTCGGAACTGGTATCCATGCTTGTGAATCTAATACAAATATTCATCTTGTATTCCATTTTGCATTTTTTAAATTTTCTTTTTTTCTTTTATAAATGGAAAGATACTTTTGAAAGTACTAAAGATAAATGTTTCAGATATTCAAGACCTCTTGAAGGTTATTATCATATAATAGCGTATTGCCTTTCTTCTCAAGTTCCGTAATTCTTGTCAATAGAGATCTGGTTTTGACAAAGTGTATGAGATGTTTAAAAGTTCATGTGAGAAAGTACTTTACAGTAAAGTAGTAAGGAAGCTGCATAATAATAGGTGTGGGATCTAAAGTGCTGTCATGAAATAGACTCCATAAAAGCCAGTAGCTTAGGAAGTGCAGAAATGAATGTCCAGTTGTGTGGCAGAAGGCTTCTATTCCTTATACAACCATATGACTATTATTTAATAGTATTCAGCTTTCACAATCAAGAAAAAAGAACGGATAATGAGAGGTGTTTATGTTATAAACATGACATAAAAGCTCAGGCTGGGTAGTCAGAAAAGTTTGTGAGGGCTTTCAGAGAGCCAGMTATTCATCTGTTACCAATGTGGTTTCTTGGGAAGAGGGACAGCCATTAATGGGAAACACTTGAGGATCATTATGCAAATCTCAGTGAATATGTATAAAGTCCAATAAGAACAAACAATGGTAAGCAAATAATACTAAAATAAGGAACTGTGATTGGATTGTTCACTCTTCTACTACAGTACTGAACTTTGGTGTAAAACAGATGGAAATTGTTCATTATTAACAATGAGAAATATTACTTCTAGACTTTCAAATTTGAAAGAAAATATTAACTCACGGGATTTCAAGGAGGATACTACTTTCTCATCTATTGGTGCTTTAAATACATTAATAAGATCTGGAGAACATTGCCAGCTGAAAGTGTTACCGAGTTCTACAATGAAAGTAAAAGTTCTGCTRTGTTAAATATTGGAAATGCACATGTAATATCAGCTTAAAATTTCACTGTAACCTTCTCTTCATGTGATTGTTAAGATTCCTCTTTTGTCTGTGTTGTAGGAGCTGGTCATTTACTAGTTTGTTACATAAATCTGCAGGCCAGACCCTTTTTTTACATTATTTTTGTAGCAATAATATTAGCTGTCTTACATCAAGTAGAAAGTATTTGCGTTCTGGTATCTCCAGGGGGCAGGTGGTGGAAATGCTGCTTGATGAAGGCAACTCTTTCCTGCTGTGAATGAATATTGTTCTGCACTGTTGCTGCCTTGCCTCCCCATCTTTCTGGAACTCTYTGCATGGACTGACTGTCCCAAGTGGCATCATGACAGAAAGATAAATGTACCACTAATTTCAATAGAATTCATTATGTTAGAATTTTACCACTTTCAGTGAAATTCTCTAAAGCTTCTTTTCTGCTCATACTATGTGAGACAGAAGAATCCTTTACCTGTGTTGCAGCAAAGTTTCAAAAGCATTGGAGAGAATTACTTTAGGCAAAGTATTTTTCTTCTTCAATAGACAATTTTAGATGAAAGATTCAAGCTCACTTCAGGGAAAAATTTTAAAAAAAGGTACAGTTCTGTGAATGGTATCTGTGTGTATGTATGCATACATATATATATAAGATCTGTTGTGCTTGTTCATTTAATCTACTCTAAAAATACCCACTTTTATTCCTTTAGTTTCTGTAGAATACTTTCCTTTGTCAGTGAAATGGAATTAACATTGTTCTTGGTCAGTCTGCTAAATAAGTCCTGAATGAAGAAGACTGATAAATCATGGTTTAGTTTTCTTGTTATATTTTTAACCCAGACTAAAGATTTTCTTTCAAGTTTGGATTTAAAATTGCCCTTCTAAAGCTTTACATGATTAATTACCGAAAAGAGCTGTAATTTTTTCTTGTAGGTGCTTGTTTTCCATCACAATATTGATTAGGAGGCCCCTGAAAGATTTAATCACTGTGACACAGACAGCGACTTCTCAGGAGTTCCCCARTCCTTTTGTTTCCTTTTTTAAAATGCTTTGTGTACACAGAGATTTGGTGTAGATTTTTGTTTCATTTCTGTTTGGCTTCCCAGCATGGGGATTCAGTGACATGTTTTTAAGCTTTAAAGCTGCAAGTTGTGTTCTGTAATTTTTATGTTCCCTCAATATATTACAAATGACAGAAAATAAAAGATTTGGTTTTATTTCAGTATAATTCGAGGTRTGGAGCTGATGTGACCAGGACAGCACTCTACCTTGCACTAACCCATGGGCTGTATTAAAGGCACCCTATTTTCARGRAGAGTTGTGAAAACAACCTTCACTRTGACTCAAAAGCCATGTGTTCCAAGAGTTAATGTRTAAATKTAGTGCYTGAGGCAATTTATTCTGTTAACAGTTATATTTAAAAATCACATGTTGTCTGAGACTGTGGACAAAAGTAAACATCAAATTGTAACAAAGGTAAATATTTTGTTAAAAATCAGTGAATTCTAGACATTTTGGGTCAAATTTTCTTAATGGAATTTTCCATTATATAAAAATAGACACTGGATGAAAGCACAGATACTTGTGTATTATTTCTCCATTAATCTCTGTTTCACTGTGATGATTATTCCAAAGAATAATATATTTAATAATGATGTATTTTTAATCGGTATTGTCAAATGAACAAAGTTCATTTTAGAGCAGATGTATTTGTTTCCAGGAGCATAGCAGGGAGGTCTTCCTATATACAGAGATAGAGGTCAGTRTTTGCTTTTCCCCAAAAGCCATGAGAGGGAAAGTAACTTCCAATAAAAACTTCCAACTTAAAAACACCTGTCATAGATGAGATTGAAGAGTTGAAAGTGCAAAATGACTTTTTTATTCATTCTGTATTTCTGGCTCTTAGAGTGTGAATATTAATACAGATTGGAATGTGAGTATGAATGCATAGCTAGTATGACTTTTTTGGCAGTGACTTGTTCTAAGTAAAGCAGATGTTGGACTTGATTATTCTGTTGTTATTATTGTTATTATTTCAGTTCTCTAATGAAAAATATCTGTGCAATGACTTTTGTTTGAGATGCTGAAGATCCAGCTCACTGTCTTCCACAGAAATGTAGGCCTTGCCATAGTATTATTTATAGATAATATATCTGTCTTAAAGAGATTATTTTTTTTTCTGTATATCAGGAACTACTGGTTTTCAGTGATTTATCTGATCARGTAAATGTCTTTGTCCTTGAACTCATTCCTTGAAATGAAGGGCCAGTTTTGTTTATTTGGTTTGGTTTCTAAACAGCTGTACATAATTGTTTGTGTGCTAAATAGAATGMTAATAATCTTTTATACCAAGAAGAGTACTTCAAATGGATGTCTAAAAAGAAAAGGAGGTACTGGAGAAAAGTGCCGAGAATGATGATTAAAGTTTTTGTTTTGCCAGAAGGTATGAGCAGGTAGGTTGTTTTTGGAATGACTTACACRGCCTAATTTGTTGCTGTTTGCCATTAGGATGCATTTCTTTGGACACCAGTTACTGGCATCTGACAGTCTGCCACAGAGCACTATTGCCTTGCTGGATGGCCAGAATGCCTTTCTAGCAGCTGCATACAGCTTTAGGCATGCCAGAGAAACACTAAATACGACCATGGCTGAGTAGGTCCAATGGCATTTGTATTTCTTTACAACTCTTTAAAAATCTACTAATTTTGAAGATGCCAGCATAGATTACACAAACCTGTAGGCAAGATTTAGTCATCTTTGATCAGGATTAATCTGCAGGGGAGAAGGTAGYTAAAACAGTCGCCACTGTGCTCTGGTTTGCAAAGACAGATGCTTGCTGATTTCTGCCAGAGGTGTGTGACTTCTCTGAGGCCTGGAGGAGGTACAGAACTGGTAGAGAACTGTGCATCCTGGATCCACATTCCTGCTTCCGAATGTGGAAATTTATATTCCTGGGGACACAGGTGTGTGTAGCTGTGTTCTGAGATTATACCCTAGGARATGAAGTGTTAAATTCTATAATAAAACTAAAGAGTAAATCTGCTGTATTCTGTGTGTTTTCAAAGCTCACTCCTCATTCCAGGGCCTCGATGTAAATGCAAATGGCAAAACCAAGACCTAATCTGGAAAAAAAAAAAAAAAAAAAAAAAAAGAGGACCTGAGCACCACTGACAGGTTTTAGTCATGTGGCTTTTTTATGATCCTCAAGTAATAAGGATCAAATATTCTGTATTCTAAAAAAGAAAAAAAAAAATCCTGTGTGTGGTGTATAATCACTAGGTAATGTTCTGCCACACAATCAGATCAAAAGTAGACAGAGGAGCTTAAGAACATGTACTTCTAGAAAGAGCTTTTCTATGAGCCTTGACATTTTCTACAGATTCCAGAAACTGTCAAGTATTCCTTTGAATCTGGAGTGAAGGAAAGGACTGAAATAAGAGCAGAAGGGTTGGTATCAGTTAATCATAGGGTGATTTTTTTTTCACAGTAGTTTTCTAGATTTTAAAGACAGATATGCACCATGACGTAGGACTCCTTTACTATGAATGTGTTCCCCCCCAGTGACTGACAAGGCTTAATGCATGACAAAACTTAGAGCTTTTTGCTTGTGAGCAATGAATATAACATGAGTGTAATGTGTAGCTGCACAGGGAAGCCCCGGGGTTCTGTCTAACCCAGWGTGCCAACTGACAGTGGTCAAATACATGTTTATGGAGAAGCAGTCTGTCCGGGCAAAAGTTTCAATGTTTCTTGCAAGCAGTCTCCCAGTGTTTCAACCAATAGAGCCTCATTTGTTAAATGGAAGGAAGAACTTTTCTGAAAAGCATGTATTTTTCTTACATTCAATGATCTTAAACACATTTTCTCTTTAGGAACTTCACCAG